AAGAGAAGTAAAGATAGCATCCACTTGAGCATGTGACAGGGCAAGTCGATATGTTCTTGAGGGCTTGCTGAGAGGATGCACAGAACTACAAATGGATGCTAACAGGGAGCAATTACTGTTTGAAAAATAAAATCTGCAACTCAGCATCCCCCAGAAGCTTCAAAATGCACTCTTAATATCACTAAAAGGGAATAACCGTTTTTCAAATGTTATAACATAGTCTCAGCTATTCAGAGCTCTTTCCCAGGACACTGCCTTAAGTTAGCATGAACTGCAATTGACTTTTTTTGCTTAAAAAAAATATTCCAGAGTATATTTTCTCCCAGTGGGAGCCCTAATCCATTTCCCTACAGGATCTGAAGCGTTGGTCCTACATCTAGAGACATTCATCAGCAACATGGGGCTGTCCAACTTCAAAGTCACTCTGAGCCATGCTGCTAAGTTCAGTCTTGTGCTATCTGGAACACATACAGATTTTCCAAACATCTGAAAACTCTGGTTCCACCTCACATCATCTTTTTGCATGTCCCAGCCACTAGTTTGCATGCTGGAGTCCTCCATGACTAGAAAAGGAAGGAATAGTTTTCTTGGTGCACACGTTTCACCAACACTGAACACTGTGCACTGAAATCATGATCATGCCTTTCCATTCCACCTCACATCCACACCTCAACAGGTGCTTATAAGGATTCGCTTCATGTTCCAATGACAATGTGAGATGATATTTCCTAAAGCATCTATCTTTCATTCCACAAGTGGGTAAGCTTTGATATGTGGAAGTAAATTATCTCCTTACAGAACCATAGAACATTGGAAAAGACCTCAAAGATCATCTAGTTCAACCCCAGTCCATCCCCACCATGTCCATTAGCCATGTGTCTCAGTGCCACATCTCCACAGTTCTGGAACATCTCCAGGGACAGTGACTCCCCCACCTCCCTGGGCAGCCTGTGCCAATGCCTCACCACTCCTTCTGAGAAGAAAATTTTCCTAATATCCAACCTGAATATATATAGCCAGCATGTGTTGAAGCAGGAATAGACTGGATGGAAATCTCAGAGGACTCTCAGACATCACTCCTCCGCTCTGATCTCTCAACCACATTCTCCACCTATGAACAAAGTCTCTGGCCATCACCAGTTTTCTGAACTGCTGTAAAATGTTTCACTGTCACTCCCAAAGGAAGTGCTGATGCTTAAAAAGGACGCACCTTTAGCCAGGCTGTTCTCACAGTGCCACTGTCTCAGTGTTGGAGTCTGTGCATCAGAAGAATATACATAAATACAGAGAGAGACTTGGAAAATGAAGCAATTAAAGACAACTCTTAGTTATACTCTGGATTAAGGACTACAATTGCTCCCAATTAATGCCAGTCTAGGCTGTAAATAAGAGAAGGATTAACTTTATGAAAATTTTATCAGTAGCAAAACTAAAATTGCTTCCATAAACACCAATTCTGGCTTGTTCTTGTACCAGAACTGGTACACCAATGAAGGGCCCAGTCAACAACAGCAGGAATCATGGAAATGCCAAAGTGTCACTGCGATAGGTGAAAAAAGAACTTCTCCATAGTGAGATACTAACAGGCTGAGCTAAGGACCTCCTCTGAGGTGTGCGGAGGGGAGCTGGAGGAGGGAAAGGCAGAAACTATCAGCCAGATAGGCAAGGAGCCTGCTCTTCAGCATCCTAAATTGGTACGACTCCCTTTCAATTAGGCTTATTTATGACAAAAGCATATAGCCCAGCATGAGCCTCAAGGTTTACTCCAGTCCAAACTTCTTTTGCTTTTACAAATCTAAGTCTACCCTGTGAAAGAGGTATAACTCCAAAGTAGTAACAGCCCCTGCCTTCATGCACCTAATGAGACCTTAGTCCAGAACTCTACATTTCTTTTAAGTTGTGGATAGGATTACAAAAAAGGTCACAACTCTTATTAAATATGAGAAAATAGAAACCTGTCCTCAATCCTACCAAAAAAAATAGTATTCACAATTTGCATCTATGGAGAGCACTGGGAAAAAGGGTCCTGGGTCCATTCTGTGAGGACTGAGCAGAGCTGACGTCAGCAGGCAAACAGCCTTTTCAGGCAGTCTGATCAGTGAGCAGAGATTTCAGGAGATAAGGCCATCATTTTGGCTGTTCCTCTGCAACTTTTTGTTCAGAGTATGTATGGGAGAAAGACAGAGAATCGCAGACCATCTTTAATCACCTGGAGATAATTAATGACTCAGCATTCTTGTAAGTGCTCGGCAAGGCTGGATTACTGCAGTGGGCTCTCACCATATCTGCGTGTGTTCAGACTAGTTCAGATCTCTTCAAAACACTGGTAAGCTCAGTGCTGTACACACTGACCAACATGGGCCCACCAAGGATCAACAGGATCCCCCAAGGCATCCCAGTGTGCTCTCACTAACCCAATTCTCCCTACCACACATGTACCTCATGTCCCCATGGTGTCACAGCAATGGAATGCGGCTGGAAAGTACGTCCTATACTGGTATTAAATCCACTTGGATTACATTTTTATGTCATTGTTCAACTACAAGCAGTTCTATACTGTGCTTAGAGCACTGTCACATGTAATCAAGAGATAATGTCAATGGAATTGCATGTTGTCACAGGAAAACAGTCTACTGCTGCCACAGAAATGCCAAATTAAAGCTGAGGCATTTATGGAAAATAAACGTCAAGTCAAAGCCAAGATGTTTATTTTAAAAACAAGAGACATGGATCTCATGGCAATGTTCCATCGTGTCTCTGTTCCTCCAACAACAAATGTCCAATGTGAATGCAGCCAAATGACAGCTTCTTCCTGGGACGAAGCAGCGCGGGCGAAGCCTGATTGCTTCATGTGACGGCTTGTGCGGCTGTGTCTCTATTGCCTGTCTTCAGCTCAGGTTTTAGGGGAACTGTCTGGATAACCAATACAAAACAGTTGCTCTGATGTATGTTAAGTTTACAGAGGGATTTAGGAGGATAGAGAGGAGAAAAACGGGACAGCAAATGCATTCTTCCTTTGCCTTTACATGGTTCACCAGAGAGGGAGGAAGGACAGTAACGTGCAACTCACTGAGATCGATGGGAGTCCTTCCAGGCATTTCTGTGGGCTTTGCTTAACGCCTTAAAAGAACAAACAGCTGATATTTAAGCTGATATCATGTTATTAATGATGGTGCTATAATTCAATTGCAGCGAGGGTGTGACCGGACCAACGTAGGACAAGGAAGATGCTGTCTGATCCAAAACTGAGATTTTGAGCTTTATCAAATCTAACCATAAGGGCCTAAGTGGTAAGAGTGGTAAAACTCCAGGCAGCCTAATGGAGCTGACATCCTTTCAGTCATTTTTATCATTTTTGCCCTTTCATCATATTACCACTCATTAAACCTCCTTCTATTCATCCGTTCCTCTCCTTCCCTAACAATTTTCCTCCAGCTACATTAAGAGATTGTGTCTTCAACAAGCTGAAATGGTCTCTTCACTCTCCTCCTTTGCCAACCCCATCATCCTCTAGCTCTCCCCAGCCCTCAGCCAGCTCTTCCCTCACCCACCAGCCACACAGGCCACACTCTTTGCAACATCAAACTGAGCTGTCCTAATTACTACCAATGCTTTGAGTGCTTTTTTTTTAAACAACTTCCAAGGGAAAAATAAATTAGGTGTTCATTAAAAACCATGATCTGGAGAGCAAGTAGAAACAATTCATTTCAGTTTCTTGAAGTCCCTCTCCTGCGCTGACATCTTTAAGTAACACGCAAACAAAGGTCCGTGTTAAAATCATGCTAAGGAGCAGTGTGAAATTCAAAAAAGCAAGGAAAATTTGACTTCAGGGAGATTTGCAAAAGTAATGCTCTGATAAGGGGTTAAGTCTACAGTCAGTATTTGGCTGCAGACTGGCAGTAAGGGCCAGAGGGATGTTCTGTACAGAAATCATAAATTTGCTTATTTTTCCCTTTGGAGTTGCATTGTTTCCCAAAGACATTCTGGCTCCTGCTCTAATCTGGTGTTCCACATTGACACTCGTTGAACCAACAGAGATGCTGGGAAGCAAGGCTACATTAGGCTGCTTCTGCTTCGTGGCATCCTCACTGGCAATTCGCTTTACTCCTCCAGCCCTGAAGCTTATCTGCCTGTAGGATGGGATGGGATCTCCAGGTGGCTATCTGATAAGACAGTGTGATAGCAGAGAGCAGGCACTTGTTGTGTTGTGGTGTTTAACTATATAAGGATACTGCAGCAATAAGGGATCTGAGCAGATGACGGATGATGCTCCAGGATTAGCACTCCAAACAGCTGCATGGTTCTCTCACACTGCTTCCCACTGCCTGTGCGAGCTTGGGAATAGAGTGCAAGACCTTAACAGTTTACAATCTGTCTGATTTTGTGCTAAAACAGAGTATTCACATTCACGAAATCCACCCAAGCTTCTCAGCGCTGGGGTGCAGAAACACTGCAGAGCTCATCGTTGCTTTAGAAATTCCAGCTAGACGGAGAGGGAAAAAAAAGTGTTCCGTCCTAAATCTCCATTGTCCTAAACTGCTTTCAGATGCATTTTTTTTACATCGGTGTTACAGCTGCCGGTCCTGGGCAAATACCCCCAGCCGCGGTGCTCCAGCACAAGGTCTCCCGTTGTTCTGGGGAGCGCCGCGCTCTGCCCACCGCGGAGGGCTGCGCTTCGGGCCACGGGACGCCGAGCAAAGGAGCCCCGCGCACGGAGGGCAAACGCTACGCGCGACCCGACCGGCACGGGGAGCGGCGGGCAGC